TTACCCCGAGGAGAAAACGAATCTGGGGCCTAAAACGAGTTGAAATGGGTTGCGATCAAGCTTACAAGCATCAGTTGTGTGGCAAGGAATGACTTTAACACCGCTAAAGCTTCTAGTTTAGGTTAATGCAAAAAATGCAAGTGCTTTACATTGGCGATACGGGAAAATGACCGGAGTTCGCTTGCGCAAACATTTGAGTGACGTGTCTCCAATCTTCCTTGAACGATGATTGTTTATGGTGTTATTGTTAATACTAGTTGGTACCATATAGGTTAACTACTTATTAACCGATAGTGAGGTCTTCATGGGTAACTCACAAACTGAGACCTTGGCCTTGACGTTGAAAATCTCGAACCTCAACCTCGGCCTTGCCTTATTGACCGAGCGAGGTCAATACGACAAGGCCGAACGTTCGAGGTTAATAAGTTGTTTATTATATGGCTTTTTGCTCTGGTTTTGTGGGCCCGTAATCGGTCCGTGGGCATTACGGTAGGATAATGCCCTACAATTGGCGATCAGAGCGCGCGTTATATCGGCCACAAACACAAGCCATATAATAAATAGAGGATATTACATGGCGACGCGAAATATGAATTATATTTTCGAGTGGTATAAACAATATTTTACGAACGGGCGCAGCGAGTGAGTAAAAATATATTTTTGAACACGAGAAAATATAATTCACAGCTTCAAGCAACTGTATAATTTTCTTTTAATGATATAGACAAACTGACTGTTTGCGCGAATAACCGTGTAAAAGCGAGAAATGACGCCATCGATATCCTCCGTAGTTACGCCGAATATGGAAACTACACCACTCAGGTGTATTTTCGTATGAATTTTACGAGTGGTTTAATCTCCGGTAAAACACTCGTGTCTATACAATAAAGGACATTTGACGTCGCTTGATGTACTTGCTTACCGTTTTGCGCTCACCACGACAATATCATCGAGGGGGCATCATAGTAGTCCTCTCTCAGGCGATGGATAGACTGTAATTTTAATTGTCTCGACAAGAAACATTTGAAACTCACAGGGTCCAAGTATGTCTTTACTGTTTCACTCCCAATAGGCTAAATTTGAACTTTTGAGTCCTTACATGAAAATCTTGTGGGAGAAAATTCAAATGAAGACTAATGTATAATAAACTGTACTTTTAATTGTCGCGAAAAGAAACACACAAAACTCTCAGAGTCCAAGTGTATCTGTTTAGGTTTTAATTTTTCAACGTAGATGCAAACCTTGCGTGCAAAAATTCAAATGAAAACTATTGTGCAATAGACTGTAATTTTAATTGTCTCAACAAGACACACAAATCTCACAGGGCCCACTGGTAACTTTATCGTTTTACTCCTAATAGTCTGAACCTTTTGCCTGTTATGTCATTATTTTTTGGCGTCTGTTGATTAAATCCTTGGTTATGAAAATCAAATGAAAGCTACCGAATAATAAACTGTAGATTTTAATCGTCTCGACAAGACACACAAAATTCACAGGGCCCAATTGTATCTTTATTGTTTTAATCCTAATAACCTGAACCTTGTGCCTGTTAAGGTACATGTATTATTATTTTTTACGTCTGTTGATTAAATCCTTGGTTATGAAAATCAAATGAAAACTACCGAGTAATAAACTGTAAATTTGAATCGTCTCGTCAAGGCACACACAATGCAGGGTCCAAGTGAATCTTGATTGTCTCACTCAGTCCCAACAGTCGAAACCTCGTGCCTATTAAGGTTTCGATTTGCGAGTCAGTTAATTAAATCCTTGGTTATGAAAATTCAAATGAAAACTACTGAGTAATAAACTGTAAATTTTAATCGTCTCGACAAGAAACATACGGAATCTCACAGTTCCAATAGTATAAACCTCGTTTCTGTTAAGATTCCAATTTGTGATTCTGTTGATTAAATCCGTGATTGTGAAAATTCAAATAAACACTATTGTGCGATACTTAAATGCGGAACTGTTTATTTTGCTATACGAGTCGGTTCTAACTTCGAGTCTATGGATGACAAACACGAGAGTATCAGGGTTCTATTTTTTTTTTGCTTTTTCCATTTTTTCAATTAAAAGATGGTATCACCTTTTAGAGTAGTGGATAGAATCCTGATGTGTAACCAGTCTTTTTGTTACTGTTTCTTTAATTTTTGTATTTAATTTAACTTTTTAAATTCATTGAAAAGTGGAGTTACAGTGGAAAATCTACGTTTTACGTTTCTTGTCCTAACAAAATTTGGAATTCAGCGAATTAACACCTTTATGATTTCCCTGCTTCAATATCAAAATTTACCATTGTAGGATTTTACATATTCAGGGCCAAGTTTTCCAAACTAGTTTATGCCAATGGCAACCACCCAGTCCACAAAGAATGTAAAAAGTTCAAGTTTCTTTAGGATTCGTAATTCAACCTTCGGTAACTAATGACGATTTTGCTATTTTTTTGTGTTGTTCCTTTCTTGTTTTACGCCGGTAGCCTATATTGTCTGCTCGAGCTGAGGGCGTAATGAGTCAGCGAATGAATTCGCAACAATTCTTAGCTCTTGTACAGAAGTTTTCCAATGTAAAAACGGGGGGAAATTGCAGTAGTCAAGCATGTTCCCAAAGGCACGCCTCCAGTCAAAGTCGTGGTCTTCTGCACAGACTAAGCTTATCAGAGATTGCGCTTTTAAATATAATTGAAAGCGCGACTATTGCTTTTTTTTTGACAGAACAAAACGTTACAAAAAAAAAAAGACAATTAAAAGGTCGACTGAACAAAGACTAGATACCTGTTACGGAGAAATCAGTACGCACAAAAATTATCAAGAAGCTAATTTTGGTGAACATGGCTCCGAGGTTTGGGGGAATGAAACAAAAGAAATTATTCATCCCAAATTCTCGATATTGATGTCTTTCTATATAATTTCCCCAAGCCACGAAGCCATTATGTTTGAATTAATATGTCGATATTGGTTTATGCATTTCTTATAGCAACATCACCCTTGAGATCTCCGCTTTTAAGAGGTCATCCTGTCTCAGAGATTTCCCCACCTTCTAAGTTCTCATTTGCAGTTCGTTGGTGAAATATGAAACTGGCTCTCTCAGACGCTCTGCTTACGGTCGCTTCTATAGTGTCGGGAATACGACGAGATCCTGCGTTATATTTTCCAGTACAATATTTTTTAGTCTTCAAGTTCATACTAAAATGCTCAGCCTACGGCGCACGAGATCAGTCACAAGAGGTGATCTATTTACTTTATCTGCTTTATTCATTTAATAATGTATTAAGTTTGGTTTGAAATCGAAAAATAACACATAAAAAGTTGACACTGGCTTTATTTAAAAGTTATGTTCAGGTGTTTCGTTTACCACATTTTGTGCTGCTACAACCTTTTTCTACCAATGAAACTTCTTCCCTTGTGTTATATGAATAAAAGTTAATTTACAAATTAAAAGTACAAAAAGCGTGACAAAGGAGGTCCTCCTCAATGAACTGCTTTTAATTTTCAGTTTCTATTCATGTAACTACAGGGACGTCGTTTCATTTCTCGTGTTAATCACTCGCTGCGAACATTTGCAAAATATTGTTTTTACCACTCGAAAATAAAATTCATATCTTCCCGCCGCCTTGTAATAACCCGCGTGTACTTTTTTGACTATTTGAGCCACTATAGTCCATTTATTTAGAGAAAAAGAATGCAGAATTGTTAAATTGTCAGCCATTTTAGAGTTCTAGGTATTTTTCCTTACTATCAAGTATATTTGAGTTGTTTCTAGAGCATCCTCAGGCAGATCTAGTCCTTTTAGCATTGGTAAAGAGCACAATGCTCGTTTTTACGAGCTTTATATCACATTTCGGGCGCGAAATTCAAATTTGTACTCTTGCACTCGTGGAATGTTTTGCAGTCAGGCGTCCTGCGAACGTAACTTGCGTCACAGTCTCATGAAACTCAAATATAGCATTGACAAAATATGATCTAACCTGCTATAAACGTTTAACAAAATATTAGCAAAAATGAAGCGCGTGTTTTATCAGTAACTGATTAGAATTTTTTTTCTTCCTCCTTTTTCCTTTTTTACAAATAAACTGTTGTTTGTAAGTTAGGAAGTCAGTCAGCCTGTAAAGATTATCTCAGATTTCAGATTTCAGATTTTTTATTAATTGACACTATTTACAGACATATTTCACTATCGCACACTATGCTAAATGGGACTCATGAGTTGCGCATGTGCTAGCTTGATCTCGAGTTTCATAACGTGGCAGACGATTCCAATCTCATGTGTGAAATTCAAGATGGCGTCGACAAGTAGAGACTAGGCATTGAATGTATCTTGGCCAGTTGAGCTACTTAGTGCATCTTGACCACCAAATCATAATATTCAAATCTAAGACTGCTAGGGTTTTTTTTTTCACTTTGATTTGATTTTCTTCAACCCATTTTCATTAAATGAGCCAAAATCTATATAGTTTGTTCCGGTCAATAGCGGAATATGATTGTCAGGTGACAAAGAGGGATTCTTATGGTGATCTAAGGAAAGTGGAGAAAATATTATTATAACAATAATACTACACTAATGCTGGCGTTATTTGCCATTTTTCGCGCGGCTATTTCAAAAGACCATTTTTAAAGGCAGAATAGTAAGGCTTATTTGAGTTATGGGCCCATTAACTGATCTTTTTAAACCGTTGCCAGGGAAAATTTATTCTCATATAACCTTGTCATTTTTGGTTATTTCAGAGTTATTTCATGTGTTTTAACCTCATCATGATCAGTAACACTAGTGGTGAAGTCATCAGGCAACGCTCATGGTCATGTGACTCATCAGTTCCGAAAAAAAGTAAAGGCTTCCAAGCATATTACGTCATCGGGATGTTTTCTCTTGATTTAATATTTTAACTTTAATCTTTATTACGCTATGCATAGATTTTGTTTCATTTCTAAAAGGTCAGATCCTGAGAGAATTTCAAACATTAAAAAATTGGTAATTTTCTGAAAGAAGGATTTTATAAAAGAAATGCATAGCTATGTTTCCAACGTTGGCTTTAACTCGAAACTCGTCGAAAAAGGCTGACTTAAAGAAAGACCGCATTCCTTTAGCATTTAAAGAAACCCGAAGTGCCCGCGATATCTATCGGAAGTTACTCTATCAGCGCGTGCGCAGTTTACACTACCAGCGGCTCGATAAGATCAAACGAAGCACACGAAAGCCACACAGAGATGGTTTTTCTTTTTCTTTTTCGTTTGTTTTTTTTTTTCTCTTAGTTTGTTTTTGATTGTACTTTCTTACTTTAAATTTTGTGAAACACCAACTAAAATCCTCAAAAATGTAGCCGAATTTGCCAGATGAATTTTTTAAATTTTCCTCCCTCGGGCTGACGCAAGTGAAATTTCACCTCCTTAGCAACGCGCACGAGCGCGCGCATGAATCGGTTAATGGGTCCTCGAATGCTTAAAGCTAGTATATCATAAATTAAAAGTTAGTAGAGCTAGTATATCATAAATTAAGAGTTATATCATAAGTTAAGAGTGTATAATATTTGCTCAGATCAAAGCAGAAAGCTCTTAGAATGACAAAATTTGTGGGGATTTTGTACAGACTGCTAGTTTGCATTTATGATATCCCTTTTTGTAGCAACACAAGGCTGGTTGTCATGCAAAAGTGGAATGTTTGCATGCAAGTGTACGCATTGAACACGTAGCTACAATTGTGAGCTACTTTGAAACGCCTTTTGAGAGATTCCACCCTCAGCATCAAAGGAAGTCTTCCCTGCGGTAAGTCGACACTGAATGTCCATTTTGAGATGTAGTTTTTTGAAAAAGTGTTTTGGTTAGTTGTAGTTGCACCCGTTAAAGGATTCAGTAACGCAATTTTTGTTTCAAGATTGCCCTTATAGATTACTTTAAATGTTTTCCCAATTGTTTCAATATCAATGTATCATTCTGTTGGAAAGGTGTCACTAACTCAAAGTAGTCTCAAACATACTTTGTTTTCAGTACCTACTTGAAAGTGTTAAGAAGCTAATTCCTCTGATGTAAACCGAATTTCACGATTTTTACCGCCATATAGATAAGAAACTTTTCACTCTTGTCTTCTTCGCAGCCTAAAGTTTTTTTAAGCACGTTTAAAAGTCGGTTAAGGTTTATTACTTAAGCTGTTCTGATCAACGAACTCTGTGTAACGTATTGAAAATAATGTCGGAAATTTTAAACTTCGCATCTTTGATTGTAATACTATCTATCTACTATCTATCTGATATCGCAACTCACAAAGGAACGAGCTAAAAATACTAGTCGATTAATTCAGTGGAGAACATGTAGGGAAGAAATAAGCTTGCGGTTGGCAAGAGTCAATGAAAGTAAATCATGAAGTGATTAAATCTTTGGCACTAAACTGTGAAGGAAATTCAATTGTCGTAGCTTTCAGCTCTAGCTAAAAGTTCATGCTCACAGAGTTACGGAGTGAAAATTCAATGCTATTATTAGTATGGGAACTTTGTAGTGCTGGAAGGTTTGTGACTTTATTTTATGTTATGTGGCGCCTAAATGGTTTAATTTCGATCAATGTTTCCGTCAATTTCTATGATTTACCCCGAGGAGAAAACGAATCTGGGGCCTAAAACGAGTTGAAATGGGTTGCGATCAAGCTTACAAGCATCAGTTGTGTGGCAAGGAATGACTTTAACACCGCTAAAGCTTCTAGTTTAGGTTAATGCAAAAAATGCAAGTGCTTTACATTGGCGATACGGGAAAATGACCGGAGTTCGCTTGCGCAAACATTTGAGTGACGTGTCTCCAATCTTCCTTGAACGATGATTGTTTATGGTGTTATTGTTAATACTAGTTGGTACCATATAGGTTAACTACTTATTAACCGATAGTGAGGTCTTCATGGGTAACTCACAAACTGAGACCTTGGCCTTGACGTTGAAAATCTCGAACCTCAACCTCGGCCTTGCCTTATTGACCGAGCGAGGTCAATACGGCAAGGCCGAACGTTCGAGGTTAATAAGTTGTTTATTATATGGCTTTTGCTCTGGTTTTGTGGGCCCGTAATCGGTCCGTGGGCATTACGGTAGGATAATGCCCTACAATTGGCGATCAGAGCGCGCGTTATATCGGCCACAAACACAAGCCATATAATAAATAGAGGATATTACATGGCGACGCGAAATATGAATTATATTTTCGAGTGGTATAAACAATATTTTACGAACGGGCGCAGCGAGTGAGTAAAAATATATTTTTGAACACGAGAAAATATAATTCACAGCTTCAAGCAACTGTATAATTTTCTTTTAATGATATAGACAAACTGACTGTTTGCGCGAATAACCGTGTAAAAGCGAGAAATGACGCCATCGATATCCTCCGTAGTTACGCCGAATATGGAAACTACACCACTCAGGTGTATTTTCGTATGAATTTTACGAGTGGTTTAATCTCCGGTAAAACACTCGTGTCTATACAATAAAGGACATTTGACGTCGCTTGATGTACTTGCTTACCGTTTTGCGCTCACCACGACAATATCATCGAGGGGGCATCATAGTAGTCCTCTCTCAGGCGATGGATAGACTGTAATTTTAATTGTCTCGACAAGAAACATTTGAAACTCACAGGGTCCAAGTATGTCTTTACTGTTTCACTCCCAATAGGCTAAATTTGAACTTTTGAGTCCTTACATGAAAATCTTGTGGGAGAAAATTCAAATGAAGACTAATGTATAATAAACTGTACTTTTAATTGTCGCGAAAAGAAACACACAAAACTCTCAGAGTCCAAGTGTATCTGTTTAGGTTTTAATTTTTCAACGTAGATGCAAACCTTGCGTGCAAAAATTCAAATGAAAACTATTGTGCAATAGACTGTAATTTTAATTGTCTCAACAAGACACACAAATCTCACAGGGCCCACTGGTAACTTTATCGTTTTACTCCTAATAGTCTGAACCTTTTGCCTGTTATGTCATTATTTTTTGGCGTCTGTTGATTAAATCCTTGGTTATGAAAATCAAATGAAAGCTACCGAATAATAAACTGTAGATTTTAATCGTCTCGACAAGACACACAAAATTCACAGGGCCCAATTGTATCTTTATTGTTTTAATCCTAATAACCTGAACCTTGTGCCTGTTAAGGTACATGTATTATTATTTTTTACGTCTGTTGATTAAATCCTTGGTTATGAAAATCAAATGAAAACTACCGAGTAATAAACTGTAAATTTGAATCGTCTCGTCAAGGCACACACAATGCAGGGTCCAAGTGAATCTTGATTGTCTCACTCAGTCCCAACAGTCGAAACCTCGTGCCTATTAAGGTTTCGATTTGCGAGTCAGTTAATTAAATCCTTGGTTATGAAAATTCAAATGAAAACTACTGAGTAATAAACTGTAAATTTTAATCGTCTCGACAAGAAACATACGGAATCTCACAGTTCCAATAGTATAAACCTCGTTTCTGTTAAGATTCCAATTTGTGATTCTGTTGATTAAATCCGTGATTGTGAAAATTCAAATAAACACTATTGTGCGATACTTAAATGCGGAACTGTTTATTTTGCTATACGAGTCGGTTCTAACTTCGAGTCTATGGATGACAAACACGAGAGTATCAGGGTTCTATTTTTTTTTTGCTTTTTCCATTTTTTCAATTAAAAGATGGTATCACCTTTTAGAGTAGTGGATAGAATCCTGATGTGTAACCAGTCTTTTTGTTACTGTTTCTTTAATTTTTGTATTTAATTTAACTTTTTAAATTCATTGAAAAGTGGAGTTACAGTGGAAAATCTACGTTTTACGTTTCTTGTCCTAACAAAATTTGGAATTCAGCGAATTAACACCTTTATGATTTCCCTGCTTCAATATCAAAATTTACCATTGTAGGATTTTACATATTCAGGGCCAAGTTTTCCAAACTAGTTTATGCCAATGGCAACCACCCAGTCCACAAAGAATGTAAAAAGTTCAAGTTTCTTTAGGATTCGTAATTCAACCTTCGGTAACTAATGACGATTTTGCTATTTTTTTGTGTTGTTCCTTTCTTGTTTTACGCCGGTAGCCTATATTGTCTGCTCGAGCTGAGGGCGTAATGAGTCAGCGAATGAATTCGCAACAATTCTTAGCTCTTGTACAGAAGTTTTCCAATGTAAAAACGGGGGGAAATTGCAGTAGTCAAGCATGTTCCCAAAGGCACGCCTCCAGTCAAAGTCGTGGTCTTCTGCACAGACTAAGCTTATCAGAGATTGCGCTTTTAAATATAATTGAAAGCGCGACTATTGCTTTTTTTTTGACAGAACAAAACGTTACAAAAAAAAAAAGACAATTAAAAGGTCGACTGAACAAAGACTAGATACCTGTTACGGAGAAATCAGTACGCACAAAAATTATCAAGAAGCTAATTTTGGTGAACATGGCTCCGAGGTTTGGGGGAATGAAACAAAAGAAATTATTCATCCCAAATTCTCGATATTGATGTCTTTCTATATAATTTCCCCAAGCCACGAAGCCATTATGTTTGAATTAATATGTCGATATTGGTTTATGCATTTCTTATAGCAACATCACCCTTGAGATCTCCGCTTTTAAGAGGTCATCCTGTCTCAGAGATTTCCCCACCTTCTAAGTTCTCATTTGCAGTTCGTTGGTGAAATATGAAACTGGCTCTCTCAGACGCTCTGCTTACGGTCGCTTCTATAGTGTCGGGAATACGACGAGATCCTGCGTTATATTTTCCAGTACAATATTTTTTAGTCTTCAAGTTCATACTAAAATGCTCAGCCTACGGCGCACGAGATCAGTCACAAGAGGTGATCTATTTACTTTATCTGCTTTATTCATTTAATAATGTATTAAGTTTGGTTTGAAATCGAAAAATAACACATAAAAAGTTGACACTGGCTTTATTTAAAAGTTATGTTCAGGTGTTTCGTTTACCACATTTTGTGCTGCTACAACCTTTTTCTACCAATGAAACTTCTTCCCTTGTGTTATATGAATAAAAGTTAATTTACAAATTAAAAGTACAAAAAGCGTGACAAAGGAGGTCCTCCTCAATGAACTGCTTTTAATTTTCAGTTTCTATTCATGTAACTACAGGGACGTCGTTTCATTTCTCGTGTTAATCACTCGCTGCGAACATTTGCAAAATATTGTTTTTACCACTCGAAAATAAAATTCATATCTTCCCGCCGCCTTGTAATAACCCGCGTGTACTTTTTTGACTATTTGAGCCACTATAGTCCATTTATTTAGAGAAAAAGAATGCAGAATTGTTAAATTGTCAGCCATTTTAGAGTTCTAGGTATTTTTCCTTACTATCAAGTATATTTGAGTTGTTTCTAGAGCATCCTCAGGCAGATCTAGTCCTTTTAGCATTGGTAAAGAGCACAATGCTCGTTTTTACGAGCTTTATATCACATTTCGGGCGCGAAATTCAAATTTGTACTCTTGCACTCGTGGAATGTTTTGCAGTCAGGCGTCCTGCGAACGTAACTTGCGTCACAGTCTCATGAAACTCAAATATAGCATTGACAAAATATGATCTAACCTGCTATAAACGTTTAACAAAATATTAGCAAAAATGAAGCGCGTGTTTTATCAGTAACTGATTAGAATTTTTTTTCTTCCTCCTTTTTCCTTTTTTACAAATAAACTGTTGTTTGTAAGTTAGGAAGTCAGTCAGCCTGTAAAGATTATCTCAGATTTCAGATTTCAGATTTTTTATTAATTGACACTATTTACAGACATATTTCACTATCGCACACTATTACAAAAAATTCATTAATTAAAAATAAGGAAAATATAATAATAATAAAACCAAAACAAAATGTGCTCAGTGACCAAAGAAGCATATGCTATCGTGTTGGTCATTGCCACGATGATCCTCCATCGATATGTTACTTTTAAAAACAAACTTTTAATACTGTTCCTGCGACCAATGACAATGACAATTTCTTGCAATTGTGGTTCCTTGAAGCTTTTTGTTGAAGATCTAAACCCCGGTGTTATTAAATTAGCAAGTAAAAGGCTCTACAAAACTGAATCTTACTATTGTATTACGTAGTTTATTACTATCGGCCTGTCGAGACGCCTAATTATCTTTAATTCTTAAGCTGCTTACTTGTTACATATCATTGAATATCTTCCATCTAGTTTTCTTTATATTGTCATTGTTGTTGTTGTTGTTGTTGTTGTTTATTTTTGCTGTTGCTGAAAATGTGCAGACTGCTTCTCGGCTGTTTACACCTAGATGCTTGACTGACAAATTGACTACCAGGCCACACAACGTTATTGTTTAAAATGGCACTTATCACCGCGTATTGTTTTCAGGTTTATTTTACAGAATGATTGGCCATCGTCAGGCCCTGAAACTTCTTGTGGTCGTCACCTTTGCGTTTGCTGTAGTGACAATTGTAAGGAACATAGAATGCGTCATACTGTTCCCAAGTAACCATGCTCCGCGAATTTTCACTCTACGAGAAGTCGAAGAAAAACCAATTTTCATTGGTAAGTCTTTCGACACTGGAGCATGCGCAGTCCCAACGTCTTTCATCAATGACAGCCAAGGTTGCAAAGTGCCAAATGTGGATCCTTACAATGACTACATCAAGAAGGCTCTTAATCCCGTGAGGTCAATATCATGCCGGGGAAGATTATATACTGAGTATCAAAACAACTTGTTTCGATTACTTGATGACGTCAATGAAGGTTTGTTGGATCGTTTCCTCCTTTGTAATTTTGAGAAAAGTAAAACTTCTCAATATACTAAAAGATCAAAATTTACTAAACGTGTACTTCAAACATACTTCATACTACTAAAACCGTACTTCAAACATACATCAGGCTACACTGAAAGTTATACTTCAAACATACTTCACAGTATACTAAAAGTATACTTGAAACATACTTCACAGTGTTTTAAAAGTATACTTTAAGCATTCATCACAGTATACTTAACGTATACTTCAAACATACATCACAGTGTACTAAAAGTATACTTGAAACATACTTCACAGTATTTTAAAAGTATACTTTAAGCATACATCACAGTATACTAAACGTATACTTCAAACATACATCACAGTGTACTAAAAGTATACTTTAAACGTACTTCACTGCATTGTAAAAGTATACTTCAAACATACATTACAGCATAGTAAAAGTGTACTTGAAACATACTTCACAGGATAATAAAGGTATTCTTCAAACATACATTACTGCATACTAAAAGTATACTTCAAACATACGTCACAGTATACTAAAAGTATACTTTAAACATACATCACAGTACACTAAAAGTATACTTCAAATATACATCAGTTATACTTTGCGGTATATGAAAAGTGTATTTCAAAGATACATCACAGCATACTAAAAGTATACTTCAAACATGCTTCACAGTACACGTAAAGTATATTTCAAACATAATTCAGAGCATACCAAAATTGCACCTCAAACATACATTTTCTGGTGGTAAAGTACACTTCAAACACACTTCATATTATCAAAGTTCGCTTGAAGTATATTTTAAGACCTCCTAAATGTCTACTTCAGACGTACTTTATTACATGAGAAATGTGTAATTTCAAAATCCTTCAAAGTATACTTTTAAACAAATTTCAAAAGAAGTTTACCCGTTAATAAATTGCTTTCTAGAAGTCATCGGCTATTTACTTTATATTCGATGGATCCATTTTCACACAATGTTGCAATTTCTCTTTTGCAGAGAATCAAGTCGCCGAGATCTTTGCAGAGCCCATTTATCGAATTTCTGATTATAATGTGACCCTTGGGGAAAAGAAATTTCTCAACCTAACGAACAGACAGACTAACCTAGATAGCGACTTCCTCAAAGTAACTGTTCGTCTGAAAGATGGCTCAAAGGAAACGTATTTCCACGCTTCAATTTTAGAGATACCCGAAGTTGCACAGCGCAAAAAAACGCACAGTTCACCCCTAAACATCATGATCTTGGCTTTAGACAGAACATCGGCAGCCCATTTTCAAAGGATGCTGCCTAAGACGTATGCTTTCTTAAAGGACGAACTAGATTCAGTCATGTTCAAGAGTTACTCTATTGTTGGACCTAACACAACTCCAGCTATGTCTGCTTTCTTAACTGGCAAGTCATTGTCGGAGAATTGCGAATTCAAGGAAGCGAGAAAAGGGGTAAAAAATTCAAGCTTCGTGGACGATTGGCCATTCATATTTAAGGATCTGAAACGCCTAGGAATTGCCACAATGTGGAGTGAAGATCAGCCAAACATTGGTAAGAACACATAAAACAATGCTATACTACTGCATCGAGGTGAAATAGCTGGTTTAGTTCTCATGGTCTGACTGAGTGGCTGACTGACTGACTGACTGACTGACTGACTGACGGACGGACTGACTGACTGAGTGGCTGACTGACTGTCTGCTTGCCTGACAGACTGACTGACTGACTGATTGAGTGGCTGACTGACCGACTGACTGAGTGGCTGACGGTCTGTCTGACTGACTCACTGAGTGGCTGGCTGACTGTCTGCTTGACTGACTGACTAACTGATTGAGTAGCCGATTGACCGACTGACTGAGTGGCTGACTGACTGACTGAGTGGCTGCCTGACTGTCTGACTGACCGACTGACTGACTGACTGACTGACTGACTGACTGACTGACTGGCTAGTTGATTGATAGATTGAATGATTGAATGACCTGACCTCAAGCTGCTACAAATACGCTATGCAAAGGGCGTCTGACATATAACACAGCTAATCAAGCAAACTGCGCCATGGCGAAAGTGTTCTCCCGTACCCAATCACAAATATTGAGATTATTTTTCGTCGCATCGAAGAGTTTCCGAGATAGGATTGAATATAAAGTTTAATAAACGTAACGTGGACTATTACTGATCAGTATGCATATGATCTAGTTTGACGTCGATCTCATTAACATGAACAAGCGCTGTACAAAACAGACAAAAGGGGAAAGTCTACATTTGTTCTGAACAAGACTTGCACTTGTCGACCCGTCTGTCTGCTTCTTGTCTTAGGCCGGATTGTTTTTCTTCCATTTTTAGGTGCATTTCATCTTCGCCTGAAGGGATTCCAAGATCAGCCAACAGACCATTATGGAAGGATACTATGGTACGAATGGCTGAGGACAACAAGAGAAGCAAGGCTTTGCTTAAACTCCCAACCACAATATGTGTTACAACTGAACTACCTGAAAAGCTTCATGAAATCCTATCCTGGAAAAAGAAAATTTGGTTTCGCATTTCTATCCGACTTGTGTCATCGATCAGCTAATCTTCTCCGCGCAGCCGATAATGGATTTGCGGCCTTTTTTGAGTCACTAAAAAACGAGAGTCTCCTGAACGATACGATGTTTATCACAATGTCTGATCACGGTCCGACATACAAGGAAATACGCCATAGTCCTCAGGGGAAGTTGGAACACCGACTTCCCTTTCTTTCCTTGACTTTCCCCCCGTGGTTCAAACTCAATTACCCGAAACATGCAGCAGCCTTGGTGAAGAATTCACGGATAATCTCGTCACCTTTTGATCTTTACGCGACGATGAAACATTTGTTAACGTTCCCAGATAAACGTTCAGTTGAAACGGCTGGAGTAGGCGCAAGTCTTTTTGAGCCACTTCCTGATAACAGGACATGCGAAGATACGGGCATTACAGACAATTACTGCCCGTGTTTAAGGTGGCAATCCATTGACATAACCCATCCTCACGTCCGTAAAGCTGTCAAGGCGGCAGTAATTCATATAAACCAACTTTTGTTGTCTCATCCCAAGACAGCCAATCTATGCCATCAGCTGGAGCTAAAAAGTATCTTTAAAGTTCATCAAAAGCTGCCAAGTCATGAGGCAGACGTGAATTTTCTTTCAGGTCAGGAAAAGGCCACTTGCAGCTATCACATCAAGTTTCAAACGACACCTGGGGATGGTCTATTTGAAGCCCTACTACAGATGAACGCCACTGGGGATTTTAAGGTTTACAATGAAATCGATCGTGTTAGTATGTACGGTGATCAGCCGAAGTGTATTGTGAATCATGTACCGTCTATGCGCCCATACTGCTTGTGTAAATAACTGGAAAACTAATGTTATATCGCACGTGGCTACTTTAACCCTCGGACACACAGGCAAATTCATACTTCTTCTTTAGTTCTTCGTTTCCTGAATAAGACACATGGAAGTATTTTGAATTTAGTTGGTAGCCTTGGTGGCGCTCCACAAGATGAAATGTTTATTTGTTGAATATTACGTCTTACGAGGTCATTAAATCCGCCACGATAATGTATCCCCCATCTTGGACCTCTTTATTATTTTTTCTCAGTAAGTCAGAAAATAACGCAAATTGATAAAAATCCAAATTGATAGTCGATCTCAAAACACACTCATTCTTCATTTCGCAGTCACATGACAAAACTGACCGCGAGTGATAACGAATAAACTCGAATGAGCACGTGCGACTACGAGTGACCATAAGTGACAATGAGGGTGGGGGGGAAGGGTAGGTAAGTAGGGAGGGATGAAGGAAACAAAAGATAATGTAAACTTAGCTATCATCTCTACAGCCATCCGTTAATTAACTCGCAAAACCCATTTTGTTGTTTTCTTCGCGTTGTTTTGTAAGCTGCTATGTAATTTTCCTTTAATCTGAATGTGCTGTTTAGTCGTCATTATTTCAGCAATCATCATTGGCAGTTATAATGCTTGGACTTGATAACCATCAGACCTAAAACACTGGAACTGAATAGAAAAAAACGTGAATTAAATTAATTTTCACGTCAAAAGGAATCATTATCTTTGATCAATGGTGTGTCGATCTACCCAAGTTAGGTGGAGCGAAGGTGAGGTTTTGGGAATCTAACACCAAGTGGAAGCTTTGTCATTATAAGAACGTGCGAGAGTCAACTGGGCCACTTTGCCTAGGGTAGCTGTTCCCCCAATAGGGGCGGCAGTTTAAACTGTACAGTCCAACCGAAACGACATGATAAAAGTATTCTTCTTCAAAACAACTAAAAGTGAATACAACGCTCAAGTTGTTTTGACCTCTTTTCTAATAATCCTTAACTCGATTACTGTAGGTTTTAATATTTTAACGAGGAACATTACAAGAAATTTTGTGAAGAATAACACAACTGATTATCCCAACCGGTGGCACTTCGCGAGGGAGTCGCTGGACAAACATGACGCCGTTTGGCGTCAAATATAAAGCTTAGAGGCGCTAACTGTTTCAAATTGTTCATACTGTATAATCTGTTACGTTTCTGCCATTTTAATAAATGTAATCCGGTCTTCAGTAAGAGAAGTGACCCGACCTCAATGCCTTTTCTATTTACATGCATTCACGTTAAGACAATACAGCTTTTTCAGTCTCCTGAATGCTGGTAAGTTAGTTCAAATTATAGAGGAAATATCCGTATACAAGGCACCCGGTCGACGTTTATCACCGGATATTTTTATTTTTGTAACCAGAGTTAACTGGGGGTGTTGCCGATTCCCTGAGATTACAAGCCAGTCCAACGAAGGTCCCCCCTTTTTGCTTTATCTGGTTTTCTTCCAGAACAATTAAACTTTGCCCATTTTAACCCTAGCTGGATTAAGGCATTTTGATATGCAAGTGTCTTATCCAAGAATGCAAGGCTAGAACTACATAAAAAGAACAAGGCATTGAAATTAACTACTCGTTGTGTTGATGCAGACTGGATACCACGAAATCGCTGTTACTTACGAGAGTCTGTAATCCTGTAAACATAGTTTGTCACCGCACCACCTGAGCACAGCATGGAACCGGGAGTGCACTGGGTCAGAGGAGTATCATTTCCACTGACGTCACCTTCGTAGCACTTAGAGGATTCACTATGTAAGTTGTATCTTCCAGCTGCAACTTCATCACTCCAGCATGAACCTGAGTAAAAACGCAATCAAAGAGCAGTTGGTAAACAACGGTGCTTAAAAGTTAATTTTATAAAATTCATCGGACGTCAGTCACGTCTGTTTGTGTCTGTACGTGTTTGTCTCTGTCTATCTGGCTTGCAGGCTGTCTCCCTGGCTGTCTTTGTCTTTTTGTTTGCCTATCTGTCTGTCTGTCTGTCTGCCTGCCTGTCTCTCTGTCTATCTGACTTGTTGGCTGTTTGACTGGCTGTCTCTGTCATCTTGTTTGCCTGTCTGTCTGTTTGTCTGTATGTATGTCTTTTTGTCAATCTGACTGGCTGTCTCTGTCTGTTTGTCTGTCTGTCTGTCTGTCTGTATAATTTTGAGTTTACATTCATTCCTTGCTTCCTTTTTCTGCTTTATTTCGTCTCGCGTTATTTGTATTTATATTGTAACGCCCCAATTCCGCAATAAAAGACGGCGTTAAAACTTTTAATCACAAATCTTCGAGACATACAGTTTAGCAACTCAACTGAGCGCATGGTTAGATCACCACATGTCACGTGACTTACAAGTTGCTAAAGGGGGTACCCATCGGAAATCGTCCAACGCTACACTATTGAGCGGCATTAAATAATTCTGACACGACTGACTTATTATTATAATTAGCGGCACTTCCTGGAGCTTCCTGGGGAAAAATACGGCAATTGCTAAGTAAATGAACAAGACTAGGGAATCAAGGCCGCATGCACCCGACTGTCCTACACCGTTGGTTATTTGTAAAAGAATCATGAGATATACAACTAGCATGCACTTTATCGACTTTATCTAACGATACTGATGACTGGTTTATACTTAACTGCAAAGAACCCAAATTATCAGGATACTCGAGATTGCCATTCTTCACCGCTTCTGGGAGAGTTGTACAACGATAACCAACAATAATCAGAAAAGATCATCGAAAATTAAACTTGTTCTTTTTCCTCCTATATGGATCAAAGACTGTCGTACCTTATCATGCCTAATTTCGCACATAACTGGACGCTCGCACTTTCAGAACATTGCAGCTTTTCTTTGGAGCAAAGCTCAGAAAATTGAAAATATTCGCTGCCTCATAAACTTGTATGAACTTGTGAAGTAATTTGGTTTTTAAAACAACTGCATTGGATGAAGGGAGAGGACAAAGTTTGTTTCCCCGCTTATTTTGGGTCTGTTGTACAAATCAAGCTCCATTGTCCCATTTCACCGACTCCTCAGTATATTGATGAGAAATACTCAAAGATGAATGTATCACTATACTCAAAGATGAATGTCAGAACTGGAGGAGGAAATGGTTAGGTCAAAACTAAAACATTACGTAAAATCTACAGCGATGATGCAAGACCCTTTTCTAATGTCAGCGTTACTCTTCTCTTCGTTCACTGATGCAATCTGTAATTAACAAAACTTGGGTTTTGTGCGTGCAGAAAATTACCGATAGAAGAGGAAAGAACTTCGCAAAAAAAAAGACAAAAATTCTCAAGCGACTTTCCTCTTACTTGCTTAAAATCCCACTTGATTGTGGATATATATTCATGGCCTGGCGTAAGTCCATTGAATTTATGGTGATATCAGACCAAGGAGTTAATTATTATTTTCCTAGCTAAAGACAATAAAATTCTAATTTATGAGAGTCTATTCAGGACTTTCCACCCTTAAGTACCTTTATTTTGTTGGTGGCTTTTGTCTTGATAAACAAAACAGAGGGACATTTGCTGGAAACAATTTTGTTGCCAGATTGAACCAAGGGCCCTTTTTAGAGCAGTTAGTTATTATGTGCATAGAAACAATTGAGGCGATATGTACTCGTTATTAACGTCCGTTTCCTGTACGGTGAAAAGCATAGTCGGAAGGCTTTGTGCCATCTCTGTGCTGTTTCAATAGTACAGTCAGATGAACAAATAAGTAAGGAAGTAATGGAGACTCGTTTTGTGGGATTGCTTTATTGCACAACAAATAGCAATATAGTTGCTTGTTTTGGAGTAATTACAGCGGTAACGATGTGTTCGCGGAATGGGTTTACGATCTCTTCATCTTCATTTGTTTGTTGTCCCACTTCTGACCTTGGGATACAGTTAAACCCTGGCCAAACCATCGCAACATTTCAACGCAACATATCGCAACATTGTTGGCCCAGTATTTGCAAGCCCTGGCCAAACGATCGCAACATTTGAACGCAACATATTGCAACATTGTTGGGCGGAACATGTTGCGTACGTTTGGCCACCCTGTTACGGTGTGTTGCGACGTATTGCGACATGTTGGGTACTGAAAATCGAACTAGTTTGCATGCCCGGGTGCAACAGTGTTGCACGAACCTGGCCAAACGACTACAACATCATGCAACATCCACAAATATTGCATAAAAAATTTGGCCAGTTTCAAATTTTAGCCAACAAAAGCCAACATGTCGCAACACCTCGCAACATGGTAGCCAAACGCGCGCAACATGTTGTGCCCAACAATGTTGCGATATGTTGCGTTGAAATGTTGCGATCGTTTGGTCGGGGCTTTACCCTTCTGAATTTTTTTCTGTCAAACTCAAACATATTTACGTGGAAATGATTAAATGATGTTTATAAAGGCAAAAGTACAGTTTTCTAGATACAATTGCAATTTACTTACAATGCTGGAGAGGGCTATTATCAGACCCGGTTTCATAGCAGTTACATAAGGGAATCAGGCCTTGATGACAATATTTGCCTCATTAGCATAAGCGATTCATGCAGTTTCTGATCGATCAAGCCTCAACGATCTCAGCTTCTAATATTGAAAGGGCATAGACAATTAACTGTTCTAAGACATTTGAGCTCGATTTGTTGAGTACTTTTTCTGCGACGCGCGTTTAAGAGCTCAAAATATTTAAGGACGGAGCTTATTAGCACTTTTGCCGCCCGGAAATTTTTCAGTTTCTGAAATATCTGGCATGATGTCTTTTCTGCACAAAGTGCTATGTTAATGAGGAAAAATGTGAAACAATAATGTCAGAAACGATCGCTCTATAGGACAATTAAGCCCAATCAAATGCGCAACACATAGAAGTACTGCGCCATCTTGTAAGGCACCACACATATCGATCTAGAAAGGACGTCATCTGTATAAAAAAGCTACGATACACCTGGTTTATGATCCATTAACTTTGCTAGTTCGTCACTGATTCGTATCCCGTTTCAATTTTCCACAATCTCTTTTTTGTGTATTTTACATCATTGCCACTTTTCTACCTTCACTGTAATTTGCCGCTTTTAATATTAATCAAGTTTTGTACAGCTTTAGGGCCTCTTCATATGAGCCCGGTAACCGGGCTGGCTCGCTTACTGGGACGAATTTTGTTGTCTGTTCATATGGCAAATTTCAGCCCGGTCTACCGGGATAAAGTCCAAGAAACAACCGAAATGTTGGAACATAAACTTGTATCGTTCGCGGCTGTCGCAGCTTTGTGGACTCTTGTAACTTTACTAATAAAGCTAATTCGCCTACTCCTTAAGTGGAAATTCATACAAGGCAAAAACTATGCCATTTTGGCCGCCATGTTGCGAAAGCGAAGCTATTTCGTCTAAAAAAAATTGCGTCCCGGTTATTCGGGCTGGAGTGTTCATACAGGAAAATTTTCATCTCGGTTACCGAGATCTCGGTCGCAAAACCCGAGATCTCGGTAACCGGGCCAGCCTGGCTTCTCATATGAACACATCGAAATTTTTACGAAGGAAAGAGGAGCGAGGCGAGATCTCGGAAACCGAGCCAGCCCGGTTGATCGGGCTCATATGAAGAGGCCCTTAGTTGACTTTGGTCAAAGAGTTTCAAGATTTAAAAATTGTCTTTTTTTCCACGAGGATTGGATGTCGCCTGGCAAACCATGTATCATTTAAACTATTTTATGTCTATTTTTAATTAACACTTAAAACAGGGAAAGAACAAAGACAGAGAACGGTGGAAATCGATACAAGTCAAAACCACCATAGACAAAAATAGCACTTATGGCTAGCCTGCAGGGACGTTACCTTTCTTGGTTTGCCTTACAAATACATTTAATTTAAACTCATACGTAGGAATTTCAGGATTGGTCAGATAAAGCAACAAAACATCGAGGTCGTATTTTTTAGACTGACGATTACTAGGGAGGAAATAATTTAAAAGCGTACTTTTATTGGGTATACTTTTTTGAGCCGTTTTGGTGTAAATAGAATACAAAGTTTGACTTTTTCAGAGTCTTGAAATAAACTGATGTAAGGTTTGTTTTTCACTTTGGCTTAAAATGGGGCATTTGCTTAAGATGAAGGTAATTTTTATAACATTCATTAAAATCGGCGAGTCTGCACTCGTCTGCAATGTTTACGCAGATGGAAGTTATTCTTGGATAGTTGAGGTCAAGTATTAGAGAAGTGTACTAATTTTAGAAGTCTGAAATAGGGTTATCCATTTTTAGGCTCGGACTGAAATAGAGTATAGCATGGGGACACAGAA